GATATGCAAATGAAGTTTTGATTAATCCAAAACTTACTCAAATGTTTGGTTGAGGAATAGCTGGAATTTTTTAGCACTGACTTTAATACCTGATTTTAGCCATAAGTTTTAAACTCACTGGGATCGAAATATCCCATGGATACAATGCTTTGGTTAATCAAAATTACATATTTGACTCTCCACCTAACATTATTGATTACATCGCTTTCTGTGTAATTAAATAAAACACATTATTCATAATTGTGGTTAAAAATTCGGTGCTATTCTGTTTATTACATTTTATAAACATAATAATATTTTTAATTTAATAAATGAATTTTAGTTATTATGATTATGTTACATAGGAAATATTTGTAATTTGTGTTTATGCTGTTACAATTAGACAATCTTATTTTTACAAGGTTATAATTATTATTTAAATTAAATCTTTATTATTCTGTTTTTGTGAGAACAATTACACCAAAATTATATCCACATCTAAAAAATATTATTAATACCAAATTAAAACATGATACCTTTTAATGTATTATTCTTATATGAAATAAAAGATTCTAAAACTTTAATATTATTTAGTAATTATAAAAGGGTTGATATGTAATTGACTAATCTTTTATAAAAAATATTTTGTTATATAGATTACTGATGGGGAAATACCAACTTAAGTCGTCCTTGAATTATTACCTGATGGTTAATATACATAGTTTAAAATACAAATATGCTTTATTCTCATTTATGTCTCACATCAATTTTTTAAAATTTAAAATATAACTTTAAATACAAGTAATGTTTGGTTCAATGTCAATTAAAAATAACTTTTATATAAATTATAATGTCCAAAAATGCTTAGAGTGCAATCGGGAATTATTGTTATTATTGAACTTTTATCTCTTATGTCAGATTTGAGAAATTCATTCGAATCTCGATTCTATTCATCCATACATTTCTATTGATATATCATATTATATGGTTATTTATAAAATAAAAGATTTGAATGTATCTAAATCAGCCTTAAATTGGCTTTCCACCACTTGGTTCCCCCGTTTCCCCCAACAGTAATATAGATTATTACAATTGGCCATGTAGTTTTTGAGTTCTAGAATTTTAAAACGTTCCCAAAAAATAAATTTAAGATAATTAAATTCTAAACATGAACTATTACACAAATTATTATAAAAAGTATTTAGACATTGGGGAGATTTAGTAAAACCAAGGTATATAATTTGTTATATTGTGAAGGAAATGACTCCTGAGGAATAAATTGTCTCATTTTAACCATTGTATTATCTTATTTTAATTTTACCATATTTTTATGCACTTTTATATATACACACATACATTGCATGCATACATACACATTGCTTTAATTAGCACATTTTACCCCTTTTATTGTCCTACATATGCACTCTCACTCTTTTATGACCTGCATATGCAGATTTATTCTTAGAATTGACCATTGCAATACATTTTTGTCACAATTAATACAAATACATTTAAACACATTTTTTACCGTTTATTAATTACAATTATAATCATTAATTATGTTTTATTCATTATATAAACCTACAAAACATAACGCATCTAACGGCGCCAAATTCGGGCGCCAATTCCATGTATTTCGCTCTCAAATAGAGAGACACTTTCTGTACGAGCTGTAGCTCTAAAAACAATAATTTTTGAGCAATGGTTAAGATTTATATCAATAAAAGCTAGCGTATTTTTGAACCTAAAATTGGGTACTCTCTCTTTCTTTACGTGATCGGCTTATCCGAGCCTCGACCGCCTTCTGCTACTCTTTGTGAGTCTGCCTCTGGCATTGACCACAAAGTGATACCGGTTTTACTTTCATTCCCATAATACGGCGCTGACATATGCTTTGTCTACACAATACCGCGACAGTACCCGCCGTCCAAATTCCGGCGATACTTCCCCAGTAACCCCCCTTTTACTTTGCATTGTTCAGTGACCCATCGCTCAATTCGCGCGCCATAAACAATAAACTTTGGCTCTACATTTGCGCGCCAGTACGTGAATCGCTCGATTCTCGTGCCTATCGGTGAGTTGCGACAGCAGTGTTGTGTTTGTGCGTGTCTTCCCGACTGTGAAACCGGTCAACAGATCAGTTCGTACGGATCGATCCCCACCCGAAGATCCGTCACAATATATTGTATTGTATTTATACGAAAAGTGTGATTTGAGTGCATAATTAGTGCATAATTTTCTTACATAGTTTATACAGCACTTTTGATAATTGGACATAGACGTCAAATTTTACAATAATTATTATATCAATATAAACTATTGCACAACTCGTTAGACTTAGTTGTTAACACTTTTACACTAGTGATGGCCGTTTAAGTGCTAAAAACATATTGGTTAGGGTAAAATATACATGATGACTGTAAGCGTGTAATTTAGTTTTTTAAATATTATTTTATCAAGGTTAGATAACGCACTATAATTTGCAAATCCAGTTACCAACAGCTATTAATACAGTACATTTACATTTACATGTATGTTTAGCTGCAAACTTGTAAAGTGCAAGTTTAGTTTGTAAAAATTGATATATAAATATTTGTGCTTCTAATAATGACAAAATTAAATAATTACAAGTATAATAAATCATAATTGGTGTTTACTATCACATTGCTTAACAAAATATCTAAATTATACGCAAACTACTACAACATGTCCGACACAACTGTCCCCACAGTAGGGTATTATAAGGTCCGAGGATTGGCTCAACCCATACGACTGTTGTTGGCGTATAAGGGCGTGAATTTTACCGACAAATACTACGACAATCCGGGCATCAACACAATGGATACGTTTAAACAAACATGGTATAAAGAAAAATTCACCCTGGGTCTCGCATTTCCCAACCTACCTTATTATATGGATGAGTCGGTCAAATTGACATATAGTATAGCCATTATGCGACACTTGGCCCGAAAGCACGGACTGGTGGCCACCGACGAGACCGGACTCGTACGCCAGGATGTGTTGGACCAACAGTTGGTGGACATCAGGAACGGGTTTTTTGGTTTATTAATTAACAAAGAATTTGCAACCGAAAAAGTCACATATATAGCTAAAACACTTGACCAACAATTGGACAGTTTGTCCCGGTTTTTGGGTACCCGTCAGTGGTTTACCGGTAATCACATTAATTATGTAGACTTCTGGGCGTACGAAATGCTTGATTGGTTTAAATTCTTGAACCCCGAAACGGTTAATAAATACCAGAATTTGGTTCAATTGTTGACCCGTTTTGAGAGTTTACCGGCGATTAAGACATATATGAAATCACCGGAGTTTATAAGTTGGCCACTCTTTGGATCGCATGTTCAATGGGGGTTTAAAAAATAAATTTATAATTTTATTATAATTAAAATTATTACAAATTGTTTCAAATTATTAAGTTATAATTAATTGTTGAATAAATTGGTTTGAGGTTTAATTAAGTATATTAAAGTTATAATAAAATACAGTATATAACTGTTATCGAGAGATTATTGCTTGTTGTATGTCATTGATAAAATAAAGCTAACTATAGATCCAATAAGTTTTTATCACTTAGACGTAGGCTGGCCAACTCAAAAATTTTTAATAGTGGACAATTGCTATATTTTGCTCGAAAATATGGTAAAAATAGTGGACATATAGTGGACACATTTTTGGCTCTATTTTTAAGTCAATCTTAGCTTCTAAACTAGTGAATAAATATATGTATTTTTAAATAGTGGTATATTTAATTATGTACACTAAAATGTGAACATTATTAGAGCCTACTAATAAAAAATTATTTCATTTTTAATAAGAAAATAACCCTATTTAATAATCATTTTTGATGTTTTTATCAAATTTATTTTTAATTTCTTAAACTCGAATATTTGGTAATTCAATGTCCACTATTTGGTCTCAATTCTTAGTGGACAGAAACCCAAAATAGTGGACTGTCCACTCAAATAGTGGACAGTTGGCCAGCCTACTTAGACGGGCATCAATAGTGCAAAATTATGTATAACCATGGTATATAAGGTATTTTAAAACATAATCTGGATCATACGATATTATTGATATGTAAAATACTAATCAACCGATTTAAATTTAAATTTGTACACTTTAACCTTATTATATTATGAACATACTAAAATTATTTGTGAACCCCTAATGAACACGAGTGACTGGCAATGCTAAGACATTTATGGATCAGCTCTAAAAGTAATTTGACAGCACTTGCGGCCATTTTGGGACAATATTTCACCCGATTGTATAGTTGAAAAATAATTTGTGCTGTCCATCGATTTAGATACACTTTCTGAGTCACTATACCAAAAATTTTATCAATTGGTAGACATTTCGGTGCATATTTGCCTAAAACAAAATTTCCGAAATTACGAAATTCTCGTAAAATTGTAAATCCATTCTCCGAGTTGTCCACGTTTTGAGGGCATAACTTATAAACTAGTGGTCAAAATTAAATGCTGTTTATCTTACTTATTCTATGATATCTAAGTTTTAAAATAATATGACATATGTCATAGTTTTTTAAAGAAAGATTTATAAATAAAAATTGCGGTCCAGTTTATGTTTTAAAACACCTTACTCGGTATGTGCAAGGTATATCTGTAAAGTTATATATGAAGTTATTTTACTTTATTAAATATTGACATTTATTGTTAATAATAATACATAATATGTAATTCAATGTGTACGTATATGTAAATTAATAATAAAATATACACTTAATTTGCACTTAAATCTTTATACAGGTAATTTTTATTAATTAAAAATAACTTTAATTAAATTAGTGGACATTGAATTACCAAATATTCGAGTTTAAGAAATTAAAAATAAATTTGATAAAAACATCAAAAATGATTATTAAATAGGGTTATTTTCTTATCTATTTATGAGTTTCATGAATAATGAGTACATTACTGTAAAATATCATATAATAAACATAGTGATGATTCATCACTAATGAATCAATTCAAATAATTAGTGAATAAATGGATATAAAAAGAGAAGTCAGTAATCAAAGTGTGGCAAAACAAAGAAAGAAATTAAAATGAAGATTTACATTTAAATTATTAAATAATGAATTATCTACTTATTAATTTATTAAATAACTTTGACAAATAAATATTGGTGCACTTATATGTGATTTTTACACAAAGGGTGCACTTATATCCGGATATAGGTGCGGTAGTTTTGATGAGATGCAAAATCTGTGAAATTCACTTTAAGTGCATGCACCTATAAGCGGGGTAATACGGTAATAATAATACATAATATGTAATTCAATGTGTACGTATATGTAAATTAATAATAAAATATACACTTAATTTGCACTTAAATCTTTATACAGGTAATTTTTATTAATTAAAAATAACTTTAATTAAAAGTAAAACAACTTTAGTTGGATTATCCTTGCACATACCGGGTATACCGTTTATACCATGGTTATAAAGGTTACCATGGTTGCCTTTACATAATTTTGCACTATTGATGCCCGTATAAGTGCTAAAAACTTATTGGATATGTTTAACGGATGATTGTAAGTTTTTTAAAAATAATATTAAGTTCTATAGTTAATTTTTTTTTATCAATGACATACAACAAGTAATACACTCTCGATAAAAATAATTATATTTTACTATAAATACGGGTGTCTATAATATTGAAATCATAACTTAATTTTAAGTTAAAATATCTTTTATTGTAGTAATAACTAAAAGTTGTACATATTCTGCAAAACATGTCCAATACATCGCTGCCAACCGTTGGTTACTATCCCATCCGGGGTAGGGCTCAACCCATACGACTGTTGCTGAAGTATGCGGGCGTAAAATTCACCAACAAATACTACGGCAAACCAGACACCGATACTGTGGCAGATTTTCATGCAGTATGGTTTAAGGATAAATTCACCCTGGGCTTAGACTTTCCCAATATTATATTGATGGATCAGTTAAATTAACACAAAGCCATGCCATTATGCGACACTTGGCCCGAAAGCACGGACTCGTGGCCACCGACGAGACTGGACTCGTACGCCAGGATGTGTTGGAGCAACAGTTGGCAGACATATTGTATGGGTTAGCAAATGGCCTATTGTTTGACAAAGACTATGAAACACTTAAAATCAAATACTTGGCCGAAACACTGCCCCAACAGTTGGATGAGTTGTCCCGGTTTTTGGGTACCCGTCAGTGGTTTACCCGTAATCACATTAATTATGTAGACTTTATGGGCTATGAACTACTTGATTGGCTCCGGGAGTTTAGCGCCAGTACTTTCAATAAGTACCAGAACTTTGTTCAATATATGAACCGTTTTGAGAGTTTGCCTGCAATTAAGGCATACATGAAGTCACCGGAGTTAATACGCACACCCTTTGGGCCATACATTCAGTTTGATTACAGAAATTAATTTATATTTAAATTCTTTATTAATGTTAAAATTAAAATTATTATAACATTTAAATCATTGTATTTAGATTAAAATTTAAATATTATTTGCACAAACTGTCCAACTGTTGGGGCAGTGTTTCGGCCACATATTTAATCTTTTCGGTCTCATAGTCTTTGCTTTGCAATAGGTTTGAGTATCCGCTCCTGATATCCATCAACTGTTGCTCCAACACATCCTGGCGTACGAGTCCTGTCTCGTCGGTGGCCACCAGTCCGTGCTTTCGGGCCAAGTGTTGCATAATGACTGTACTTTTTGTTAGTTTTACTTCACCATCGATTTAATATGGTACGTTGGGAAAGTCGAGACCCAGGTAGTGTGACCAACTTAGTTTTAGACAATAGTGTACAAACTGATAAAATTGAGGGTTAAATAGTGTACAAATAGTGTACACATTATTTATGGTCAATTGATACAAATCTCATTATATTAGTCACACAT